TTTTTGCTAAACCCTAAATCCTAGACTCCTAGACCCCAAACCCTAAGCCCTGAGTATCTGCAAAGCCTCCGTGAGTCCGCACGTGCCGCAAGGCGGCTGGCTAAAGACGGCACCTCGGAAGCTTGAACATGGGATCTATTGGTTTAGGGTTCACCTAAACCCCAAAAGTATGTAGAATAATAGCCTTTTGGGCTATATTTAAGTGTTTTGGGCTATTATTTTACCTACTTTTGGATCCAGGTAAGGTTGCAGGTTTAGGATGGGATGTATTGGGTTCTCTTATATAGGGGATATATAAGGGCTATATAGAGGTTATATTGGGATAATGAAAAACAAAACGGAAGCTACTATTTAGGGTTTAGGGTCCAGGGTAATGGGAGGGCGTAGGATTTAGGGCTCAGGGTAGGGTTTAGAATGCCGGGTATAGGGCTTACATATGACAACGTATAGGGTTGACTTTAACTTAGAGTCCTGCAGCGAGGCTTGGATCTGACCCTGCCGTTTGGAAACTCTGAAGCGAACTCAGCCAGGACGTGGGAAAGTTCTCAGGGTTGCAAACTCCACGGCCACCCTGCAGAGGCCACTCTAATGGTTTAGGGTTCACTTAGGGTACCGGAATAATGCAGATGAAGCAGCAAACACGGCGAGGAGGAGTCGTACAAATAGCAGCTTCTTTTGGTCAATATCATCATGCTAGTGTAGCAGTGGCACCGGCACCAAGGAAATTGATGACTGCAAAAAAGCACGAGTCCCAAACACTGAACCCTAAACCTGCTTCGGACTAGTCCCCCGTAAGTAAATAAAATATGGGGTATTTGGGGATCTTCTTATAACATACCCAAAAGCCATATTCTATCTACTTAAGGGGGACTATACATCCAGGAGTTTGAGCCATAGTCTATACTCTTTCAAGGGGATTCTATGGGGGGATTATATAAGGTACTACTATTGGGGGCTATTAAGGGGGATTCTACTTAAGGGGAACTTTAATTACAAGCGTGGGAGGTCGCTGGGTGCCTTTGATCTTCTCGGGACCCGGGTTCCCTGGGGCTGAAAGTCGGGTTGGAGTTAAGGGTTTAGGGGCTTCGGGGTTTAGGGGGTTCAGGGTTAGGGGTTGAGGGTTTAGGGGTTAGGCTTTGTCAACTGTCAGCAGAACTATTGCTGCGACCCCCCAGAACCCCTAAAGGATACAAATCGTGGAGCCTCTTAATTCTTCCCTATTTCCCCGATGTGGTATTGGGATCATGTTTGGGAGGCTTCATTTTTTGGATCCTTTAGGGATCTGGGTCCGATAGGTTTGGGGGTTTAGGGTTTAAATTTAGGGTGCTGCTTAAGATCCTAAGCCTGAGCCTCCTCCTGACATGCCCTGCAACACAAGACACGATCACTGTTACACTTACTGTACCCAGACCCCCTAAAGGATCCAAAAAATGGAACCCCCTCATAATCCCCTAGTTTCCCCAATGTAGTAATGGGTCCATATTGGGGGGGTTCCATTTTTTGGATCCTTTAGGGGGTCTGGGTAAGTGTCACTATCATGTTATTACTTTTGCGATGAAGGAGTCTTATGCCCACACTAGCACCCCAGCTCCGCCACACGGTTAAGGGTTTAGGGTTTAGGGGTTTAGGGTTTAGGGGTTTAGGGTTTAGGGGTTTAGGGTTTAGGGGCACCACTGTCGGGCGTTTACTGATAAACTGCTCGGAAACATTTCCACACCCCAATCCTTGAACACTCTAACCACAATTGCTAAACCGTAAGAACGAAAACCTGTACCACACTGAGGGCCAGGCTAGGCACGTTCTCATAATCAGGCTTTGCTGGTCCCTGCCAAGAGAGGCATAACCCAGACCCCTGATTAATTAACCCCCTCCCCTTTAGAGGGGTTATATTAGGAATCCTAATGTTAAGGCCCTTAAAAGGAAGGGGTTTATTCATCATGGGTCTACATCATGAATCATATGAAGAAGCGCCACTTTTATCAGCAATGGTTAATGTAGCAGACTACAGGCCGCTGTTTGAGAACAGCATTGATCCCTGGACCCCAAAAGTAGGTAAAATAATAGCCCAAAACACCTAAATATAGCCCAAAAGGCTATTATTCTACATACTTTTGGGGTTTAGGGAGTGTGGTCCGACTTCAGCCAGGCGTAGGAAAGCGCAAAAACGCCGCAACAGGATGTTAATGTTGGGCCACATGTGCAAAAGGATCAATATTCGCATTTAGTAATATTTCCCAAGCCCGCGATAGAATCCAGAAGAACGTGGATTTGCCCATGATGGTAGCATCTGGGCTGCGAACACATCATGCTCCGCACTTCTGCATTGATCAAACATGACTGCGTAGAAAACTGCACTTAAACACGACTTTCTAAACCCTAAATCCTAACTCCTAAAACCCCTAAACCCTGAAAACCCTAAAACCCCTAAATCCTGAAACCCTAAGCCCTGCATCCCACCCCATACCCCCATATAACCCCTTTGAAGCTATCCCTAACTTTGGGAAACCCTCCTACCCTAAATCCCAAACCCTAAACCCTAAACCACGATCTGCCTCGCCGAACATAGTTTTGGCCATCGCCATGCCCTCCATGAGGGCCACAGGGGTCAGCTGGATTCGATCTGTGACATCCTGAGTTAGGGTTTAGGGCTTAGATTTTAGGTTTTAGGGTCTAGGTTTTAGGGTCTAGCTTTTGGGGTTTAGGGTTCAGGGCTTATGAAAGCAGATCTGGCGTCAGGGTAGATCGCTCTAGTCATCTACAAAATTGAAAAAGACGACATGCTTTCAAGCTCCCATTGCTCAGAGACCCCGAGCATGTTGTCATCATCTGCTGGAGTTTATGGAGGCGTGTGGGATAGTAAGCAGCAAGGCCAGGAAAAGAATTTTGGGAGCTTCTAGAACCAGGGGTTATGTAGGGGATTAAATAGGGAGTATTATAATTCATGGGAGGATATATAGGCATAATGGAAAGAAAATGGAAGCTACTATTTAGGGTTTAGGGTTCGGGGGATTGCAAACGTATACGCCCTCTAAAGTGCTGTATGAGGTTAGATGTCACGAACTCCCATATGCCTCCAAATCCACTCCCCATACTCCTGGCTATGTCCGCGGGCTTGACTGTGCGTGAAGGTGATGGGCTTCTCCGAATCTATGTGCTTAGACTAGTGATGACAAGTGTCTACTGCTGTTGATGCTCAGGTGGAGGGTCCGGGCACTTAAGGGCATAACCTGGAAGTACTACAATCTCCCTAGGCATAAGGACAGCGAACGGGACCCATAATTGTGAGAACCGAACATTGGGGGCAAAGCCCTAGGATGTTAGCAAATTGTGAACACACGTACATCTGCGTGTGCGTGAGGACATGCGAATGTTGATGAACGGAAGAACTGCCACACTACCCAGACCCCCAAAAGGATCGAACAATTAGATCCCCTAGAGCCATAGGGAAAATCATATAAGGATTATATAAGGGTTTTAAGGGGTCTATATAAGGCATCTAATTTTTAGATCCTCCCAGGGGTCTGGGTAACCACTTTACATCATCCAGTAAGTCCTTGGAGCGCACCAGCTTATGTGGCATGGATTGTGCAAGACCTCCTCCATCAAACAAATAACTTGGGTACTGCCCGCACTCAGTAACAGCTGGATGATAATTATAATATGGTTATATATAGCCCTTAATAGGACCCCTAATATAGACTGTGACTGGGTGGGGGCAGTACCCAACAAATAACCATCACAAGACATATAGTCTAAACTCCTAGTATTCCCCCTTAATAAACCCTATACTACTCGCCTATATAATCCCCGATATAACCCGTTTAGGGAGTGTAGACTATCGCTCACAAGGATTTACAGCCCAAGGCCCTCACGCCAATGGCAAAGATACTGTCGATGTTGGTTCGGCTGTACTCGTCCACGAATATCTGCCAGAGATGATTCTTTGCATGGGGCTGGGACTTACCAAGCCCCTTCATGGCTCAATTTCTGGCAGAGTATGATGAAATCGATTCTGGGGATCACCGCAAGGCAATCTAGAGTGGCAACACTAACACCTAAACCTTAGGAGGACACCCCACCCTTGTAATAGTGGTATAATAGGAATATAAGAGGACCCTAATATAATCCTTACTATTCCTTACAGTCACTATTCCTGGGTGGGGGTTGAAGCTGGGAAAGAACTCCTGCTCAAGTCGAGCTTAAAACAACAACATGTCAGGTCTACCCTAAACCCCAAACCCTGAACCCTAAACCCTAAACCCTGAACCCTAAACCCTGAACCCTAAACCCTAAACCCTGAACCCTAAACCCTAATGGGCCTCGAATTAGAATTAAAGGGGTTCAAGGTTAGGAGCTTTTGAAAGGTCTGAGGCTTTCAGGTTTAAGGTGTACCTAGAGAACCCTGACCCGCTTAAATGTTAGGGTATTGGAAAGAACGGGGTTCTCAGATTGGGAACCGAGTTTTCGGTTTTTGCAGGATGATCAATGCGAGGCTGACAAGACCTCGGTTTGGGCTGAGGGTGGATTTGTTGATTGCAGCTGAAGATTATTCTCTCAAACGGTTGTTGAGGAAAGATACATGCTTGAGAAGGTCGCTTGTTGGCCTGGCAGAACCCTTGACCCTGGCAACTCTTCGAGGCCACCTGAACTTATATCCTATATATACATAACTCTTTAACTATACTTGGAATCCCCAGGACTTTGAAAACACTCAGACTAGCATGACATGAAAAGTCCCTTCTGCACGATTCTACTGAGTGCTTGAGAAAAGTACAAAACCCACAAAACAACTCTCCAAATCCCATTGTAAGACCCTCGTCCCGACATCCTTTCTCGCGGCGGTGCTCATCAGCTGCCATGCCAGGGGCTTACAGCTACCGAGTATGTGAAAGCAAACTATTTGATTTAAGGGATGAGTGGCTCTATATATATATATACAATCATTTCTACATTCGTTTGTGGGTGTCATTCTTACTCAGGGTTGTCTACCGGGTTGAGACTCAGCCCTCAATCAAATAGCCTGCCTCCACATACTTAGCATACGCCAGCTCAAGGTGCCGCTCTAGGCACCTTTGAACACAGGTACTGGGGTGGACGCGTCTGGATACTCGACTGTTCTTGCCAATATAGTCTTCATCAACCTGAGCAGAATAACACATGGGATTGACAACCTCGCAGTTGTTGTGCTGCAGCAGGTAGAGGAAGGCGTGATGCAGCACGTGGTGCTTGGGCAATAAAGTGAATAACGCGTGCTCTCTCTCGCACGCTGCGCGCGCCAGTGCGGCATAGCGACGTAGGAAACGCATGCCTTGCTCACCAAGCAGCTGCGCGGTTGAAGGTGCCAGAAACACGTCGCCTTCATACAATCCTGATATGCAGGCGTTGATAGACTTGACAGCTTCGCCACACATCTTGAGCATCTCGTCGGTACAGTCATCCGAATTGAGCTTGTGATCCAGGAAGTAGCAAAAGTTGGTAGTAAGCGCGCCTTTAAACCAATTAGCCATTGGATACACATTCATGCTTTCGAAGCCCATAGTGTCACTGGTGACTTTTGACAATATGGGAGGGATTTTCTTCTCGCTGCAAAAGGCCAAATAGTCTGCTGAGAGCTGTTGGAACCTGGAACTCTTGCTCCTGCCGGGATACTGCAAACTTAAGAGAACCGCTGCGGAAGCAACAAACGCTTTGCCGACGCCCAAGTGCCAACTGTGCCATAAGTCAAATGCAAATAGGCCAGGAAGTTTTCCAGGACGGTGTAGCAAACGGCAAAGTGGCGAAGGATCATCGAAAGGGCTGTCCAAGAAAGTTGTCTCCAGCCAAGCAGGGTTTCTCAAGTGGATATCCTCGAAACTTATGCCACTCGTGCCAGCGCGGCACAAGTGACATATGCCAGCAGGATTCGCAACATCCCTAGTTGTCTTCACCAAGTGGTTGTAGGAACGAGTCAAATTTCCCGCCTTGTACAGCCATGCCCAGTCCCCGCACACGTTGAGCACAACAGCAAAGTATCTTTGGCCAGTATACTTGTGCTTGACTCCGACAGTCTGCAAAAACTCAGCCTCAGCAGCGCATTGGCGCAAAACAGCCTGGAATACGTCCTCGTTCTGGAAAACCTTCTTGGGCATCGCTGCTTGCAGAAATCGCGAAGTGTAGGAGTGCCCAATGAAATTAGGTCTCAGCTTGAGGTACGTCTTCTTCACGCCACTCTTGGCCTGTGCCTGCAAGCCAGCTCGAACTCCACGACCAAGTAGGGAATGAAAGCTCGTGACCAAAAACGGCGTGCGCCGTCTGCCCCTCCCCTCGTCCCCATGGTAAAGGAGAGGGGCGGTGCGGCTCAGATCCAATGGCATTGAGAACACAGGGTGGTCCGCGTTTGTTTGTCGATACTTGGCCCAAAAAGCCTTCAGGATTGACTGCTCTCGATCAGGGTCTGGCTTGACAAGTCCCGCAATGATGTGAAAGCAATTCTTGTCGACCAAAAACTGCATCCAGTCCCTCAAGCGCAAAATGCCATGTGCAAGATCCCCACGTCCAAGCTTCGTTATGGGGATCGGCAAACTGAGCTTCATTTGCTTCGAAATGACACGGTGCAAGTTCCTTTCAGCATTCTTTGTGCTTTTCTTTGCAAACTTGCCTAGCCCTCGCACACTTGACCCTGTGTCACGCACCACATTGGCGGCCACACGCACTGCAGAGGAGCAACTGGCCTCGGCGAGCGGGAAGTTTTGTATTAGGTTCTCAGGGAAAATCTTGCGCAGGGATATGCTGGGTGCCGGCTTTTATGGGGAGTTAGTGAAAGAATGTATGGATGCAAGTGCTTTGCAAGTGCTGCAACACATCTTGGCACAGGTCACGAAAAAACTTGCAAGCGCAGTATTTTTTGCAAGAGGCAGCCTTCTTGGCGCAGGGCGTGTAAATTACACACACTGCAAGATCAAAGTGATGCATGCTTAATTGCGAATCCTTCTGTATGGTCCGCTAGGCGGATACTTGAAAGACCGGTAAACCATGTATGTCATGAACAAATCCTCCGAGGTCTGCTGCTCCATGATGCCCTCGCCTCCTTTGGCAATGTTCCTGCAGCCAGGCCTGCCTTGGATATGAAAACATTTGTGCAAGGAAATCAACCAGAAAAAAATCATCAAGGGCTCATGAAATCTATAGGTGGGTGCTGACAGGCTGCTCTGGTACTTCTCAATAAGTGCTGCTTCTAGCATCGCTGGGCTATATGGCTCGTCCGATAAGTAGAGCACTACCATCTCTGCCCAGGAGTCTCTAGCCACGCCATAGCCGTAGACATCATTCGCCCATCTGAAGATAGGATCGTGCGTGATGCCTATTTTGAAAATCAGGGGGGAATGCTTTAAGAAATAACCTTCCATGACTTGGATGGCATGATTCAATGCTTTCCCTGCTGCATGCAGGCTTGACCCATCAACCCGACATACTATTGGATGCCGCGTCTCGCACTCAGCAATCCTGGATTGCAGCCGCCTTGACAATTCCTGATGCCTATCACTTCTACTGCCGTTGCTACTGCCGTTGCGCGCTGGCGCACTGGCTGGCCAAGTAACGATTGCATGTCTGGAATCCAAATCCGTAGCTGCATTGCATGGAGGCGTAGAACAGCTAACTGGCAACTTCCAGGGGAATGGCCCATCAGTTACCTTAGTTTCGGGTGAATAGGAATGATAATCTCCCCACAGGACTGCCAATTTAACATGGTTATTGCGAGGTAAAGGCAGGCAAGGGGCTGAGCGGTGGCAGGTGAGAAGTTCCAGTAGTTCATCCAAGCTCTCATCATCATCAGCATTGGCTTGGCCCATGTATATAAATTTAGAAAGATGGAAACATCCAGGTTTGGACCAAAATTCTGTGCAATTGGCACTTGACACAAGCTTCAGAATCAACAAGTTTCGAACCCACAAGGCTTGCCAAACGTTGCCAACTGAGCATTCTTTATAAGACTTCTGGGCTTCAGGCTCCGCTTCCGATTTCCGCAGCAAGGCCACGAACTGTATGCCCTGGCTGGGGACCTGGCTTGAAGAGGTTTAGCGGGTAGGAGCTAAAATGATTAGGCAATCCTTACGCACAGACTGTGGTAACAATTTGTTGCGCTCTTGCAGAGTGTGGCTGAAAGCTTTTCACCCCAGCGCGTAGGCACACTGGGTTCTTGCAGAATCCCCTGGACAAATTAGTGACGCATCTTTCATCGAGATGGGCACTTCATGAAAAGCCTGCTTCCAGACATTCTCTGAAGCTGCGGAATAACTACTTCATGGAACCCTCGATCCCGCGCAACTTAAGTTGGTCATAAAAGCAACAACACAAACCCCAAGTAAATACTGGAGGTCTTCCGCGCAGCGCTTTGCATGGAATCCAAGAAACAGGCAGGGGAGGTCATGTGGCTGCGGGTTATCCCGCGCACGCACCCCAAAAGATCACCGTAGTGAGATAGCCTACTTAGTTTTGGGCTTTTTAAGCTTATCACTGGCAGAGGGTTTGTTCTTGTCCTTCCGCTTGGGTTTGGTATCCTCGTCCTCTTCCTCAAGCTTGTCATAGAACTTCCTCTCCGTCCTTGCAGGGGAAATTTGGTAGTACTACATATCTAACAAGTATACCCCGCTCCCGCCTGTATTTTCTTTCGTTCGCCACACCCTTGCTGCACCTTATATACAGAATGGGAACATCACGTGTTGGGGGTATATACTGAGAATAAAGCAAAGCGTAGTACCCGTTGAGAGTTAAATCTGTTGATTGGGCACAGGGCTTAACGTGTGGGAGGTTCAAACAGGGTTTGTGTACCGGGCTTGGGTCTACAAATATATATAAATGAATATATATATATATAAGAATAATACACGGGGTTAACGCATGAATTTATAAGCACTCGTATATATGACCACTTGGTGTAGTGTTTGAAGGGACTTATACATATATATGGTTGAAGTTATACATATATAGAGGTCTATATATTATATATATATAAAAGGTTTGTGAGTTGAGGGCTTCTATATATGTATATATATACTTATTTATTTATATAGGGTTTACAGGGTTTATAGAGGAGATATATGAAACATATACGGTACAGGGATCTAAGTATATATGTAATTCTATATATATATACTAGATATACAAGGTCTTCTGCGGGCGGAGGTTGAGGCCAATTTGATTGGAGACTTGGACCCGGTTATGTATACCACACGCAACTACTATTGAGAGGGAACGTCGTGCACATGGTTGAAGCTTCAGGATTATATAGTTAGGGACAGCACTCCTGGCCTATTTCAAGGTAGTTTGGGTACATAGACATGACCACCAGGTGATGGATTTAGAGTTTATATAGGGTTTAGGGTTTGTATAAGGCTTATGGTTTTATATAAGGGCTTAGGGTTAGAGGCTGAAGCTGCGGTTGAGCAGCACGAAGGTCGCCTTCTTCATTTTGTCCTCAATCTCCTTGTACAACCTGGGCCCGAGAAGCTGCACCCGATGAAAGTAGCCCTTGAATCCTATATATAAACACATATACATTGCTTTAAGAGAAGAAGTAAGTTCGCCCCCCCCCATGAACACATAAGTGGAACTCCATATATTGAAGTTGGGGTAAAAGGAAGCTTGCATGTAGCCTTACACGTACAGAACATCAGCTATATATGGGCCCTATATATGTATACATATATTTTTACAAGTAGCACTCAATCTGCCCTTGTAGATACTGCTTTGTAAACCCTGAGGCACAAGTCTATATAGGCTTCCCCAATGAAAATTGCAATCCCGAAGCTTCTCATCGAAGCCAAAGACATCACCTTGGGTGTGCAAGTCCAGGCAGACTTCGTGGTGCGACTCCATGTCGGCGAGGCTCTGCTCCAAGATCTGCAATGGCCTGGGATAGCGGGAAAATGGTTCAGTCAAAAATTCTATGGTCTCAGGGGTTGTTGCTTTCGAGATGGGGTGTAGATAGGTTAGAGATTTTGAGGAAACTGTATACAATTAAGGCAGATTTTTGATAAACTTCAAAACGTAATTCAACATTATATGCTAGGCAACTTCTTTATCGACTTCTCGGAATAGTTCTCCGACAGCTCCCGGATCAAACCCTTGATCTTGTTTTGCTTCTGGCCGATTGAGTCGCAAAACTTCTTCAATGTGTCTTTGATCTGAGCAAGGGTGTAAACAATGTTGTAAAGAATTTGCGCATGAAGTGATTGGAACATATTTTGTTGCGAAAACGGGGCCTGGGAGAAGCCTGCATTCTGCCTGCTGGCTTGCTCTGCTACGGCTGCTTGCTTCTGCCTCTCCTCCATCTTCGCAACGCCAGAGAAAACATTCTCCGGCAAAACCACGTCAGATCCAGCCTGAGCAAGTGATGATAGGGGCTTGAGGTTTGGGGAATTTAGGCTAAAGGGCTTCTACTTGCATAATGCCGGTCAGAAGCTTCACAACTCTGATGATGGCGCTCCTCCTTAGTCAAGGTCTCCGTTCGAGACCCAGTTTCCTTTGTCTTGACCCAAAACTCCTCAACGCCATCATACTCGTTGAGCCTGCGCCCGAAGTATCAGTAGCTGAACTATTCGCTTCATGTCAGGCAGTTCAAGTACATCCTACACACAGCAAGATTCAGCTCGCGGGGTTTATGAAGCCGCGCCTGACGTAGCCCTCACGGGCCCGACAAAGCTTCACTGCCCCAGCGATTCTAGACCTTATTTTTTGAAATAGGTACATGAGCAACTTCAAGCCTGAGACGCGAGTGCAGTTCTGCTACACACAGAAGCGCAGCAGCTTAGGAGTTCACGCAGACCAGCCTAGATCCGAGCGCATTTCTGCCTCACTGTGCCACCCTTCATCAATCTTGAGCTTAATCTTCTCCTGTTTCGTGATAATTCGTTCGATCTTGTTGAAGAAGGCTTCCTTATTTGGATGTTCGCCAAAGTTAGACATGCAATAGCTCTAAATACAGCAGATTTCTGAACAAGTGTTATAGGAAAGCATCATGTTGCTGCGCAAGATTCTCGGTTGAAGTTGAGGTCTCGAAAGATTTCGGCCACCTGGGTCTTGTTGTTCTTGAACCAGTAGTCCTTGACGTTCTGGGGAGGCTCCAGGTCCTTCCTCTTAGTCTTAGGGGTCATCATCCTAGTCAGCCTCGCTTTCGCCGCGGCAAGGAGTCGTTCCTGCATTGAAAACATTCCAAGTCAACTACGAACAGGTAGAGAATTCATGCAAACTCTTTATACACCTTACATAGTCCCTGCTTAAGTCCTGCCGTGTGGGCTCTTTGGCGTACTTGGATAACACAGGGGCTGTCGCTTGCTCGGCAGGTGGGGCTGTTGGAACCTCGCTGGAACCATTGGCCTGGTCCTCACCTTTCAAGAGGGCACGGGCAGGGGTGGCAACGGGTCGAATTGGAGGGGTGACGATTGGCGCAGTTGCTTCAGGCTTGTGAGGCTGCGAGGCTTCATCATCAATCTCTTCCTTGGAGACTTTATTGTCTCCAAGCATCGAATCAAATAAAGCCATCATCTTTTCGTCATCTAGCTCCTGAGCATGTGTATGTACACATACGGAGGCAGAGGATATATAGAGGGAGAGGAGGATTCTCAATTGTCTTTAACAGCATTACTGCTGCCCCCCCACTATAATTGCCATATAAGCTCTACATATGCATGGGGCCCCTGGAATTGTATGTTTACATAGCGATGTATAAAGACTTAAAAAAAGGAGGGGGTCCAACGCATGAAAGATGTTCCTAGCCAAGCTGCCTCTACATCGATGATATCATCATCATGCGACTCCTGAATGGCTTTCAGCCCAGCCTGCAACAACTCCTCGTCCGTAGCCTGAACTCCAGAAACAGAAGCAATTAACAAGAGGATGCTGCCGAGTAGGTTTCGAAGCCCTTGGAGAACTCAAAAATGAATATTGGAAGAAGACAAACGGAGCTTACAGTCTAACGACAAACGTGCAGTCCAGTTGCCGGCAGAGTTGCCAGGTCCTGCTCAGATGCGTCCGGAGAACTCGGCAGAGGCGGTGGCGTGGGCAAGGGTTCCTGAGTTCTGAAAGAATGCTTTTCATAGTTACACGGTGGATCGAAGGTTTACAAGACAGAACTTGCGTGGGCTATTTTTGGCTGAGAGGCTTCTTCATCAATTGATTTCTCTAGGTCCTGGCAAAGCTTGACTTCCAAGAAAATGTGTAGGACACGATGACTTTTAAGAAAGCCCACAAATGATACATATAGGGTTATATACAGCCCCAACAACGCAGCCCTTCAACCGAAAAGCTACCCGTCATGCAAAGGAGGCGGCCAAGTACTTTAGGGGAGATCATGAACTACTTAGAAAAAACATGCATTCGAAACAGGACCATCGGCTTATTACTGGAG